CAAAAACATTGAAGAAATGATCTGAATGTATGCAATATAATTTGTCTTTCCAAATACAGTTATAACATCACAGACTAAGATAAAATCTAATATTCATTTCTGCTCATGAATGGCTAGCAAACTTGATACTTTGTGCGTCAAACTAAAAAGATTGGATGACACTCACTTTGAGCTCTTTGCTGAAGAGCTAAATCACTGGATTTTCCATTGTAACAGTTTCAAACATGATTTTGTTCTCATGTGATCTGTTAAAACACTAAACACCAAAGGGCTTTTCATATCGTGCTTAACCCCAGGTTATCGTCGTTCTGACCCTCACTTTTAACCCTGGTTAAAGGAATGTTTCACACTTTAGCACCACTTCTGCGCTGATAACTGCATTACGGTACCAAACTTGTACAGAAACAACGCAGTGTTAAATGTTATGACTAGATGCTTAGCAACCGACAACCAATCGCATGCCTCATATCCACACGCTTTGGACACAGAAACACAGCGCATTGTATAAACTGTGATTTCGGTGTTTGAGGGGGGAAATGTAAAATAGTTACAGAAAACACCTGAAGATTCATTCTTACCTTTATAGTCAAAAACATCCATTTAGGAAGAACCTGATATTACAGTCTGCGATGTGTAATATGAGGATGCGTAATGCTAGAACAGATTGAGTGTGGAGTAATAGCATGAGAAGAATGACCCAAGGTTAGCTATACTTCAAGTGTGAAAAGCCCTGGAGTTGCATAAACCAGCCAATGAGATTAGAGCTGAGTTTCTTGTTAGCTTTCAACAAGATCCAGGAACGAGACATTGACGTAGGAGCCACCATGTTTTTTGTCATCTTTTAACCAATACCTTTTCATGTTTTTTCTCATTAATACAACAATTGAGAGTTGCAATTCTTCCCTATACTGTGCGGACAGAACAGATTTAGAAGTGAGCAAAAACTGTCGACTGTGGTCAGAATTTCCCTCCATTTCAGATGCAATAAAGCACTGAGACAGACCACCACAAAGTTCACAAAGTTTGACAAATCTAGCAACAATTTTTCCTCAGAAATTGTTCTGCAACAGCCTGTGAACTCAAGATTCGACGATCCAATGGCATGAATATCCAAAAAGCTGAGAAAGTCCAACATCTCTGTAAATATTTTGTTTCACGTTGATAGAGAACTTTAGGTTTCGCTCCAGTAATATTGATGTATTCACTTTTCAGCCCTTATCTTTATATTTCAATATTGCATTGAAGTTCGGTCCCAGACACACACACACACAGATGGATGAGCTAAGTCCTGTGTATCCGCTGACCCTAGAGACTCTCCATTAACACAATCCTGACTAACACCTCCGTACACAAACACTTGTAATGAGCATGGAGAATGACGGCAGACTGATGACATCTAGTGGCACATTCCCAAACTAAAGAAGAATATACTGTATTATCGTGGCTTCTTGGACTGCTAAATAAACTCACCAATGCAAGTAGTTGTTTGGTGCATTGAACCGTAACAATTCCATCTTTAATAGACACAATGAAGAAGAGATTCATGCAACAGTGGTCTCATTTCTGGAGCGAGACATGCTGAACACTGAGACAGAAGTGCTGACTCTCACATGTAAGTGTTAAATCCTATAAAGATAGATGAACCTGCAAATGTGCCTATAGCAAAACAGTACGTGGCTGAAGAATACATCTGAGATTCAGTCACCTGAGATTCAGTTACTACGATACTTAGTCATAGATATTATTGTATGTAAATATGTGTATAGATATACATATTTGGGGATTTAAATCATTATGTTTAATTTTTTATATGTTTTAGACTTATTTTCCATGCAGTTTAAACATTCAGATTACAAATAAACTGTAAGATATATTATTTTTCACATGTATATGTAAAATGTCATTTAAAATATGGTAAAAAAAAAAAAATTTTGAACAAGATTCAATTTGTGAACACGAGTTTATTCATTAAGTCTCAGGAACATTTATTAATCTAGGTTAAGTTTCATTTATATATATATATATAAAAAATACTGTTCATTGTTAATTCATGTTCGTTCATAATATCAGCTAATGCATATTTATACAACTTAAAAAATTGTAAAGGCTATATAGTATGTGTAGAAATGCACGTTAACAATGATTGATAAATAGTGTCCAAGTACTGCTCATGGTTCGATCATAATACCTAAAGCAAAGCAATAACTAATGAATTGAGCTTAATTGTCAAGTGTTACCAAAAATTACAAAAACAAACAAACAAAAATCTATAAAAGCTATACATTGTAAGTATTTAGACATTAAAATTGTCTGAACACCATTGCATTATATCAAATCTCAAAATATCAAGCAAGCAGAATGTGGCACAATATTTGTTTTCCTCATTTTGACCAATAATAGTTTTAGAATTTAAAACAACAAAATTATTTTGGGGTTATCAATCTTTAAGATATAAAAAGAAATGGAATGGAATACACTTTTGTACAGATTTACAGTCTGG